TTTTTTTTTTTTTGTTTTGTTTTGTCATTTTACCACGTGTGATTATACATATGTATGTGATAATAAATTCTATACGAACTAGCGATTAATGGTACTGATGATTGAAGTTCGTGAAGCATTTGTGAATCGTTTGCGACCTTAATAAGGTTCACATGTCGATCTAAAAATTCATGTCTCGACAACGATTGACTGCAAAGATTGCACTGCATAATCTTATGTAATCTGTTCTCTCAGCTGATCTAGCAATGATGATTGATTCATTATAGCCTGTGTGTACAGTTTGTTTATTATGTCGCACGTCTTACAATGAAGTGCACAAAGCTAGCCGTACTAATAATATCTTGACGATGTCTTGCTACGTGCTACGTATCCTAGTAGTAGTGCGTAAAACGAATCATTCTGTTCGACGAAAGACAGGGCAATCTATCGTAGATATAATAATAATAATCGCGGTTAAGAAAAACAGAAACCTAGGGTCGCGCGCTAGCGGTTATGAAATTAGAAAATTCTGTATCATCGATATCTTCTTCTTCTTCTTAAGATGGACTGTGATCTCACGGTATGTATTTCGTTCGGAATACGAAAGTATTTAAAAACATTCGCACAATGGGATCTAGAACGTCCGAAACGATTCGATCTGCGACATCGGCAAATATTACGACGACATTGGAATTCTCTTACACGGCAATACAATAGTCGTTCATCATTTGATCGCAAGTGTTCGCAAATGTTTGCAAATGTCAATCGTGTAGACGACGCTAATCGAATAGTCTCGGTGAAGGACTTCCTCAAGATTTCGCGAACTTCCTCACGAAGTTTCTGTCAAAATATATATATTTGTTATTATTATTATTTTTTCTTGTTCGTAAAAATTTACACCTATATAACTTATCGATATGCATCGAAAAGCTTATCGTAATAAAGCGATTATGTATATCTGACTTACAGAAGTACATCGTTTAGATGCGTAGATAAGACATGAGCCAAACAGTGATTACTGATTATAGACATACAGATTGGTCGAATTTTCATTGATGAATCTCATAAACACACATTTGTCAAGAACGCGAGACGAGATTTGTCGAAAATCGAAGTTCTTACAGAAAGCCGTAAACTTCACTTGCCACTTGATTACACATTATTGTACGCTTATGTATATTTAATCAGCGGATAATGGTCCTTTGATTTCATAATTGATCTTCGTATATTTTATTCGTCTTTGGTTCGCAGAGATAGTTCTTTTTTTTCGTGGAAACTTCGTATCTTTCGAAAGTGACGTGCGTAAACATCATTTTAATCATCGTCGTGCCGATTTGTATAAAAATCGTGGATCAAAGGAAATTTGGTTTGTTTCGGTTAGTACAAATTTTATTATTCCATGGTCGTGTTGCTACGTTCGATTTATTAGAATGGGAGGAATAAAGATTAGAAAATGCTTGTTTGTGTATTTTTACCATACGCATAGAAATATCGAAAATCTTAACCCTTCAACTACGGATAACATCGATAGACGAGATAGAAGCAGATTTCATTGTTTTAGTCGTCTTGTACACAAGTGTATATATTCATGTTTGAAATCAAATTAATTTATATGTATATTATATCATATTTATTTATCTAAAATTAAATCAATTAATTTACGTTCTAGTCATTTTCGTCATTTTCGTCGATATTCTACAAACACGATTTCTCAAAATATGCCCGTGGTTAAAGGGTTAAATAACATCCCGCGAGAAACCAAAGCACCATTGAATGTTATATATTTCTAGGAGACATTAACACGATTATTACGTCTACCATGTACACACTTTTAAACACATTAGGTAGATCTCTCGTATTAGACATCTTTATATATTCGTATATAATTATACTTATATCATAAACTGATATAGCTTATTTCGCTGGAGTGAGTCTCGGCTTTTACAAACTCAAATAATTTGTCAATAACACATATTTTATCTATAAATAACAAATTTTGTTAAATACCTTCATTTCTGAAACTATGATTGATTTGAAATTAACATACGTGAAGTATGGAAATTTTCACGGGTGATTATGACGACCAGTCCAGCAAAATAAAACTACTAGTCGATACGCTATTACGTACGATACACTATATAAAAATTTTACAGTGACACTCGCAAACATATATGCCATCGCATAACTTTATATTCGCACTTATATATAGGCACGCACGCACACACACACACACATATAAACTTTCAAAATCTATTTGGCACTCTCCTAATTTCATCAAAAAGGCGAGCACACTTGCTATATTCATCAATTCAAAGACATTGCATCGAGTATAGCTTTACTCTTTTGCTACATATACGTTTTGTTTTTTTTATACTAGATATATCTTAAATTCTCTTTAATGTTATACGATCATTGGTCTAAGAAGGTATTTTGTTTTGCATAAAAAATATCAATTGTGACTTCGCGACTGAATTGTTCCATTATTAATTACAAATGTATCTTGCATATATAGTCATTGTAAATATAATTTAGCCAGTCAACGTTTCGAACAAAGTTTAATAATTAATTTCTGTATACGTGTAACGTGTACATTTTTTGATGATTTTTTTTCTTTCCCCCCATTAATTTTGGTCTTGTATTTGCATTAACGTTAAGAATATAATACAGTTAATTAACAATTTTGCA